TTATACCCACTAAGTCAATAATAACTATTTTGACATAAAGTGATATATTGGAGATGGACTTCCAGCAGCCTTTTGTCTGTAGATGTCCTGACTTTAGTATTTCATAGATATTTTGTACTGGAAATAGCATGCCTCTTCTTTTTTTTATCTTCTCATTTTTTGTTTATTTGCTGGTTTGCAGTTGGCATTCGTGTTTTGCTTTACAGTGTTAAAGCAGGTGCACATCTATTTTCAAGGAAGAGGAGAGAAACGAACATTTGAGCACCAGCAAGCTGGCTACTATTAGTATTTCCCAGGCCGGGCAGTGTGGCTCACGCCTGTAATCCCAGGACTTTGAGAGGCCGAGGTGGAGGATCACATAAGCCCACAAGTTTGAGACTTGTGGTAACAAAGCAAGACCCTATTTTTTGTTTTGTTTTGTTTTTGTTTTTGAGGCAGAGTCTCATTCTGTCACCCAGGCTGAAATGCAGTGGCACAATCTTGGCCCACTGCAACCTCCAATTCCCTGGTTCAGGCGATTCTCCTGCCTCAGCCTCCCAAGTTCCTGGGATTACAGGCATGTGCCACAACGCCCAGCTAATTTTTGTATTTTTAATGTAGACAGAGTTTCACCATATTGGCCAGGCTGCTCTCGATCTCCTGACCTCATGATCTCCCCACCTCGGCTTCCCAAGGTGCTGGGATTACAGATGTGAGCCTCTGCACCTGGCCAAGACCTGCTTCTTTTTTTTTTTTGTGAGACAGAGTCTCACTCTGTCACCCAGGCTGGAGTGCAGTGGTGCGATCTCAGCTCACTGCAAGCTCTGCCTCCCAGGTACAAGCGATTCTCCTGTCTCAGCCTCCCGAGTAGCTGGGATTACAGGCACGAACCACCACACGCCGCTAATTTTTTGTATTTTTAGTAGAGACGGGGTTTCACCATTTTGGCCAGGCTGGTCTCGAACTCCCGACCTCAGGTGATCCACCGCCTCAGCCTCCCAAAGTGCTGGGATTACAGATATCAGCTGCTGCACCCAGCCAGGTTTCTTTTGTTTGTTTGTTTGTTTGAAGTGACAGATTCTTGCTCTGTCACCCAGACTGGAGTGTAGTGGCGTGTTCATGGCTCACTGCAATTCACCACTCCTCATGGCACTCTTCTTCCTCCCAGCCTCCAGCTGTCCCGAGTAGCTGGGACTGCAGGCACATACCACCACACCCAGCTAAATGTTTTATTTCTTGTAGAGGCGGGGGTCTCACTGTGTTACCCAGGCTGGTCTCAAACTCCTGGGATCAAGTGATCCTCTCACCCTGGCCTCCCAAAGTGCTGGGATTACGGGCATGAGCCACCGCACCCAGCCTCAGGTGATGTTATTTATGTATCTGGAGAACAGTTAATCTAATGTGTATCTAGGTGAAACGGAATCAAAAATTACAAAGGAAATTCAAAAATTTGTATATAAATGGATTTACTTTTGTCACTGGGAACAGAGGTTAATAGTCTGGCACCCGGATCCCTAAGGGCCTGGGAAGGGGTGACAGGCAGCCTGGGGACAGTTTGTGTTTGTCTGTGATAAGCCTGCACAGACCTTCACTGCAGGTTCTGGGCTTGGAGCTGGACAGCCGTCCACTCTGATGACAGTGTCACGCTGGCAGAGGGGTTGGGTGCTAGTCAAGCCTCTGATGAGTGAGATGCAGAGATGCCCGTTATGGTTCCGTCAGTTCCCTCTATCAGGCTGAGGAAAGTGTCCAGTCTCTGAGCTCTGCGGGAGGAAGAGGGAGAGGAGGGAAGGAAGCGTTTGTGGTGGAGGGTGGGAACCCTTGCTGTGGGAGGTCGGGACCATGGGATGATCCTGCTTGTTTCTGAGGCGTTGGTCTCGGCTGCGCCCTTCGATGCTGGCCATGTCACCCACTGGTCACTCTCTCTCCAGCCGGTGATGAACAATGACAAGCACTGCTTTGAATGCTATGGCTATGACATCATCATTGATGACAAGCTGAAGCCCTGGCTGATCGAGGTAACCACGGGAGCACCCACACCCGGTCACACCACACACCACCCCCGACATGCTTCTGCCCCGACTCGGGCCCAGCGGACCCCCAGGCCCTGGATGTTTCTCAGGCCAGGCAGGAAAGGGACCGATGTTCAGGTTTGATGGTTTGCTGATAGTTAAATTATAAGCACATTCCTGCACTGCTCCCCTCCCGGAGCCCAGCCCACGACAGGGAGCTGTGGCACATCTCACGTGAACTTGGTGGTGACGACACCTCCAGGGTGCCTCTGGGCTAGTCCATCCTCCCTCAGTCCTGCACGCTGTCCCCCGGGTCCTCCCCTGCCCTCATGGATGACAGTGTTCCCGTCTAGGAAAGCAGCTCACAACCTTGGCAGCCCTTGGCCAGCAGGAGCACGCTCCTGAGGGAAGGAACGCCTCTGCTGTTCTTCGGCATCTGTGAAGGTCGAGTTTGGAAGCGGATTCCTCTGCCTCTTTCAGTGGGTGGAGAGGATGTCATGGTGGCTGTCTGTTTCGCACTGCCTCCTGACACCACGCCTGGCTGGTGCGACCTCAGCCACCGTGGGCGCTGGCACACTTATCAGAGGCCCCAGCTTCAAACCCACCTTGCCCAACTGTTGCCCTGGAGCCAGGAGGAGGAGCTTCAGGCCTCCGAGGGGACAAAAGAACTCCGGCTCTATTGGTTATTGGTGCATCTCCCCGCATGCCCTCCCGACCAAGTTCATTTGCCAGTGCACTGCTCGGGCCCTTCATCTCGGTCACATTTTGAGCCAGGACACCTGAGTCCACAATAGCAGGTTGTAGGGCGTGGTTCCCTGTGGGTAGAGTCATGGGAACCCCTGCAGGAAGCTGCTGGAAAAGCCAAGTGAGCTGGTTCCATCGTGGCATTTTCCAGGCAACTCCTTATGCCGCCAAAGCTGTGTGTGTGAGCGGGGAATAGATCGTCAGTGTTTGTACTTTCTTGTCCTCCATGTTAAACAGAATAACTTGAGGCCGGGCGCGGTGGCTCACTCCTTTAATCCCAGCACTTTGGGAGGCCGAGGTGGGTGGATCACCTGAGGTCAGGAATTCAAGACCAGCCTGGCCAACATGGCAAAATGCCGCCTCTACTAAAAAGAAAAAAATTGGCCAGGTGTGGTGGTGCGCACCTGTAATCCCAGCTACTGGAGAGGCTGAGGCAGGAGAATCGCTTGAACTTGGGAGGCTGAGGTTGCAGTGAGCTGAGATCGCGCCACGCGCCACTGCATTCCAACCTGGGTGACAGAGGGGAGACTTTGTCTCAAAAAAAAAGAAAACAAACCAAACAAACAAAAAAATAGAGTAACGTGAATGGAAGTTTCTCCTGCATGAACTATGATCTTAATTGTGAACGTTACTTTTTTTTTTTCTTTTTTTTTTTTTTTTTTTGAGATGGAGTCTCGCTCTGTCACCAGGCTGGAGTACAGTGGCACAATCTCGGCTCACTGCAACCTCCGCCTCCTGGGTTTAAGCAATTCTGCTGCCTCAACCTCCTGAGTAGCTGGGACATCATGCCCAGCTAATTTTTGTATTTTTAGTAGAGACGGGGTTTCACCATGTTGGTCAGGCTGGTCTCGAACTCCTGACCTTGTGATCTGCCCGCCTCGGCCTCCCAAAGTGCTGGGATTACAGGTGTGAGCCACTGCACCCGGCCCTACTTCTTAATAACAATTCTGTTTTTTTGTTTTGTTTTGTTTTGTTTTTGTTTTTTTGAGACGGAGTCTCACTCTGTCGCCTAGGCTGGAGTGCAATTGCGCAATCTTGGCTCACTGCAACCTCTGCCTCTTAGGTTCAAGCAATTCTCCTGCCTCAGCCTCCTAAGTAGCCGGGACTACAGGTGCATGCTGCCACCCCCGGCTAATTTTTTGTATTTTGGCAGAGACAGGGTTTCACCATGTTACCTAGGCTGGTCTCAAACCCCTGAGTGCTCAGGCAATCTGCCTGCCTTGGCCTCCCAAAGTGCTAAGAGGACAGGCATGAGCCACCATGCCTGGCCAACAATTCTTTTTTTTTCCTTTTTTTCTCCTTTTTTTTTTTTCTGTCTCGAGACAGGGTCCCACTCTGTGGCCTAGGCTGGAGGCAATGGCATAATCATAGCTCACTGCAGCCTCCAGCTTCTGGGCTTAAGTGATTCTCCTGCCTCAGCCTCCCAAGTAGCTGGGATTACAGGCATGCGCCACCTTGCCTGGCTAATTTTTTTTTTTTTTTTTTTTTTTTAGAGATGGGGTCTCACTATGCTGCTCAAGCTGGAGTTTTTTTGTGTGTTTTTTGTTTGTTTGTTGTTTGTTTTTTGAGATGGAATTTCACTCTTGTTGCCCAGGCTGGAGTGCAATGGCGCCATCTTGGCTCACCACAACTTCTACCGCCTGGGTTCAAGCGATTCTCCCGCCTCAGCCTGCAGAGTAGCTGGGATTACAGGCATGAGCCACCACGCCTGGCTAATTTTGTATTTTTAGTAGAGACAGGGTTTCTCCATGTTGGTCAGGCTGGTCTCGAACTCCTGACCTCAGGTGATCCGCCCATCTTGGCCTCTCAAAGTGCTGGGATTACAGGCGTGAGCCACCACGCCCAGCCGCCTAAGCTGGTTTTGAACTCCTGGGCTCAAGTGATCCTCCTGCCTTGGCTTCCCAAAGTGCTGGAATTACAAGTGTGAGCAACTGCTCCCAGCCTTTTTTTTTTTCGTTTTGGGGGGCACATATCCAGGTTTGTTACATGGTTATATTGCAGAATGCTGGGCTTTGGGCTTCTCTTGAACCCGTCACCCAAACAGTGAACATAGTATTCAATAGGGAGTATTTAAACCCTCGCCGCCTTCTCTCTCCCCTCTTTTGCAGACCCTAGTGTTTTGGGTATTTTTTATTTTTATTTTTATTTCTTTTTTTTGAGACAGAGTCCTGCCTTGTCGCCCAGGCTGGAGTGCAGTGGCATGATCTCAGCTCACTGCCAACCTCCACCTCCTGAGTTCAAGCAATTCTCGTGCCTCAGCCTCCCAAGTAACTGGGATTATAGGTAACTGCCACCACGCCTGGCTAACTTTTGTATTTTTAGTAGAGATGGGGTTTTACCATGTTGGTCAGGCTGGTCTCGAACTCCGGACCTCAAGTGATCCGCCCACTGCAGCCTCCCAAAGTGCTGGGATTACAGGCTTGAGCCACCACGCCTGGCCTGGGTTGTTTTTTTTGGTTTGTTTTTTGTTTTTAAGAGACCAAGTCTCGCTCTGTGGTCCAGGCTGGAGTGCAATGTCACCATCATTGCTCGCCGCAGCCTTGAACTCCTGGGCTCAAGTGATCATCTCACCTCAGCCTCCTGTGTAGCTGGGACTAGAGGTGTGTGCCACTCTTCCCAGCTAATTTTTTTTTTCTTTTTTGTAGAGATGGGGTCTTGCTGTGTTGCCTAGGCTAGTCTCGAACTCCTAACTTCAAG